GTTAAGAAAATGGATATTACCATCATAATACTCTGTATATGTTTTTCTTTAATATTTATTCTGTTATGCTTAGTCCTTAGAAATATCGCTAAAGGCTGGTTTACATTGGTATTAATAGTAGTAGAGTTCCCTAGCATACTTTTTTTTTCTAAAACACTCTACTTTGCCCACTTTGGTAGAGTAACTATACTGTTAACACGTGTATACACGTGTATAAAGTGTATACACACGTCTCCAGTAATTTGAAAAGTTAGTTTAGTTTAAAGTGTGTGACAATGAACAAGCAGGTTAGGCAATGGAGATTCCTTTACCAGATCCTTCTACACTTTTTGTGAAAGAATCCATTAAAGGAAACCATTTAATATTTGGAACATAGACATCATTTAAACCAGAACCTGATTTTTTTGACTTTTTTATTTTGTTAACTTCTTGATTATAAGTACAACTCAAATTTTTAATTTTTGTTTTAATTCATCTAACCTAACCAAAATTTTCCTTTTATATATATTTTACAATTTCTTCGTAGGTCGCTGATCTCATTGATCTATTTCTATAATTAGGGCGGCTGATATTCCATATATACTCGTAATCCTTGTATACTGCAACTAATTTCGTAGTTTCAGATTTCGTCCACTTCATTTTCTTTCATACGTAAGCAAAATTTTAAGTTTTAATTAAGAAGTAAAAAGAGATCGGCAAGCACAAGAAACATCAACTCACCTCTACTAAAGCTAGTCTAGTGCCTGTTTACACTGGTATAGTAAACTAGCAAACCGGTAGAGTAGAGTAAGATGGTGATAGTGGGGGTAGGCTAGTAGAGTGTACTACTCCACACGTGCTATCCACTCTACTCGCCCTTAGACTATCTATAGTACTATAATGTAACTAGCACAAACTGTGTACATTATTCTAGTAGTGGGATAGTACGCACTCTTCCACCGTACTCTACTACTATTAATACCAATGTAAAACAAGCTTTAAGTATTAATAAACTCAAATCAATTCCACTTTTTAACCACTTCTCTGATATACCGGTTTTAGAAATAGTTTCAAAAAATAAGAAATAGCATGTCAACACAGCATAGTGTTTCAAATAACAAAAAGTGGTATATGCAGATAATTATGCTGAATCCAATTATGTGTAGAAAAGTGGGAATTTTAATTTAAAAAAATAGCATTTTCTTCTTCTGGGACATAGTGCACACAGAAAAATATTTTTAGGATAAGCATCTTTTATTTATATGCATTTTGTCATTCTCAACAACGAAGATATTGGGCTTCCTGGGACCATTCGCCTATTGATTATTTGTATGAAAGGTCCTTATTTATTAAGAAAACTGTGTTAATAATTATACCGTATGATCGAATAAAAACAGCGTCCAGTTGGCTTGGAAATGACGATCGATGACATTTCCTATATAAATTTACATATAAAACGACAGCGATCTTCATTTCATAGCCATCGCTGACGCCGTTTTTATCATTTATCATACGGTACTAATATAATTTTAAATTTATTACTAGTTTAATTTTGAAGATTACTCGCATGTTTTTATAGAAACATTTAATTCTAAACCAATAAAATTATTGTGATATATACTTATTAATATTTTTAGCCTAGCCCTAAACGAAAGTGTTTTACTATTTAGTTGTTCGCTCTATTTACCTTAATTTATGCATAAAACATTGTGGTCAATTACTTGTATTGTCTCCTTTCGATTCTATTATATATACGTTTCAAAGTCCAATGGGTATTTCGCCACTGTAAGAAAATATACAATAATATAAAATATTTAGAGAAGCACTGGATCGAATCCAGGGCGGAATCAAGTTCAATGGAACCCCAATAAACAATATCAGATATGCCAATGATACGGTTATAATAGCCAACGATATACAAGACCTGCAAAGCATCATAAATTCCGTAGTGATTTGTTTGGACTGCATCTCAATGTCTCCAAGACCAAACTACTGGTCTTTTCTAAGACTCCAATAAATGCACACCTGCGTGTCAATGGACACACAATCGAACAAGTGACCTCAGTTAAGTATTTAGGAGTTAACAGTAACACAATAGTCAGTGCGACCCGAAAAGATACATATTTTCATGAATTGATCAAGCGAGAAAAATATTCGTGAGTATGAAACCATATTTAACAAGATGAGACCTCGGCACGAGAACTCGAATGGCCAGATGTTACGTCTTCTCTGTGTTACTCTATGGATGTGAGAGCAGGACACTGGATTCACAAACCGAAAAGAGAATAGAATCCTTCGAAATGTATGTGTACAGACGCATGCTGCGAATCTCATGGGTAGAAAGGATCACTAACGATGAAGTACTCCAGTGCATGCAGAAACAAAAAGAGATACTGAACACCATCAAGGAAACAAAAATGCAACACCTGGGTCATGTGATGAGAGGTGGTAGATACGAAGTACTGCGCCTTATAATAGAGGGCAAGGTGCAAGGGAAAAGATCAGTAGAAAGACGCCAGAACTCATGGCTAAAAGATTTGAGGATGTGGCTTGAACGCTCGTCTGCGGAAATCTTCCGGGCTGCAGTTTCCAGAGCCACAATTGCCATTTGGATCTCCAACCTTCGGCAGTAGAGGGCGTGATAAGAAGAAAGATATAAAATATTTATTTTTTGTGAACACTGCTGCGTTAATCCAACGGAGACTCGCTTCTCAGCAGTGATTTACTAATAAACAAATTTGCCTAACGGACATAAAATGTTTAATGCTCATTAAGTAATTGTTATCAGGTAGTAGGTAATTGTTAATTTTGAAGTTTAACTTTATATAATGTAATTTTAAGAAAACGTCAACGGTTTTTATAGATGTACTAGCGTGTACCAGCAACTTCGTTCCTGTCGAATTAATCATTTGTAATGGTGATGATACAGCAAAGCAAGAATTTCCATTAACATACAAACTTGATAAAATTTTCTCACATTTATGTCAGAATGAAAAAAAAAACAATATGGCGATATTATTATATAACTTGGTAATATTTGGGTAGTTTCATCTCGTTGGAATTTGACTTTCGAAAAATCCGTTTGCCAAAAATAAGCTTTTTATGTCAAGCAGTTTAAGCAGAATCGTGGTTAAGAAATTACCCAACTTTTTGGAACACCCTGTATGATTTTTAAAAAAATTTCAAAATATGTAAAAAAACAAATAAATTATGCTTGTCCAAGCGTTTTCCCCTCGGTTTTCCCGAAAGACTAGCCGTTTTTTAAATAACAAATATTGTAATATTTGAGGGGCGTTTTCACCCTCTTTGTATTTGAGATTCGAGAAACCCCTCCTTATAGAATTTCTACACCCCACAGTCAATCTGTTTGCCAAAAATCCAGCTTTAAACGTCAAGCAGTTTAAGCAGAATCGTGATTACTCAATGGTCATATTTTATGAAACACCCTGTATATATTTATAAAAAAAAAACTTAAAATATGTAAAACAACAAAATAAAATATACGTGTTTAAGAGTTTTTCCGAAAAACTCACCGGTTTTTAAATAAAAAAATATTTTAATATTTCAGGGATAGTTTTACCCTCTTAGAATTCGAGTTTCGAAAAATTCTTTCTTATCGAACCTCTGAAAGTAAAAAGAAATATAATGTACAAAATCATTATTATATTTCTAAATTTTAAACATGTATGTATTTTTCAAGCACCAATGTGTTATATATAATTTGTAACACAAATTTAGTTGTTTGTGTGTGAATGGAAAAAGATACAAAATTTTGTAACATACCAACCCGATTAATTTAACGAAAACAGAAATCTAAAAAATAAAAAAAAGATCTGTTTCGTAAAATACCTGACACGTTAAACATTTTCTGTTGGTTGATCAAATTTATTTTACAAGTTTCCAGGTTTGTTTTCACTGCACTTCTGGCGCACTTATTCCCATCATTTCCTTGATCTTAAATAATAATGTTAATCTTCGTAAATCTAAACTTTTCCTTCAACGCTGTTAAGGTTAAGGCACATACCGGGCGCGTCTCAAAAGTGGCTCACCCCTATAACTTTTTTATTTTTTTCAGATAAAACAACGATATTTGGTATGTTAGTATATGACATAAATTAGGATTGATTGACCTATTCAATTGTCTTCAGTCCTTCCTGTCTCACAGAAAATGACTACAACTTTTGATTTTTAAATGATACCCTCGGTATTTTTTTAGTTTATTCGATAGAAAATAACATTCTGAATAGAATGACAATAGAATGTCAACTGTTGACATTACTGCCTAATAAAAAATGGTATTTTAAAATTCAATCTAGAGTGCTATAGCTATGTTAAAAACACTAATTCTTAATCAAGAATCCTTGGAAAAATAGATTTGATCGTCTAATGTTTTGTCCTGACTTTTCTTTTGTCCTGACTAGTTAAAAAATGCTCAAATCGTATTTTTAATCATATCTCATTTTTTCAAATGGAACGAGGGTGGCTTATTAACATATTTGGAAAAGCCATTTTTTACGAATAATTTTATACCACATACTATTATATATATTATTTTATGGGGTATTTTGAGTCAAATTTTCGTTGCGAACCGCAAGTTATAATTTCAAATAAACCATATGGGAAAATGTCAGTTAACACATGATATGTTATTATATTCAGAGTGTTATTTTCTATCGAATAAAGTAAAAAAATACCGAGGGTGCCATTTAAAAATCAAAAGTTGTAGTCATTTCCTGTAAAACAGGAAGTGACCGAAAACAATTGTATACGTTAATCAATCCTAATTTATGTCATATAATAACATACCAAATCGTTCGTTTTTTTTAACTGAAAAAATAAAAAAGTTATAGGAATGAGCTACTTTTGAGACGAACCCGGTATACCTTCTCAAACAAAAGGGGATTAAACTCTGATATCATATTATATATAATATATATTTATTTTATATTATGTGTATTATACTTAAATTATACAAAAAAATAATAATAATAATAAATGTGAATAATGATAATATTTAATAATAATGAAATTTAGTATTTACATCTTTTTTATAAAAATCTTATAGCCATATTTTTCCTCGTTTGTATAAATTTTTAAGAGATTATACGGAATCAAAATTCCGCAGTCTAAATTTCCAAGATTTTCAATTTTGAAGTCTTTACACGAAATACCAATACAAGGTATATTGGAAAAGCATATACTATTGTTATTACAAGATGCGGGATTAAATTTTAGTTCATACTTGAAATTGGGGTTTTCAGTATCCATGGATATATGCGTTATAGAAACACTCAAACTCAACTCAGTCGGACATTTTAAGTTAGATGGCCTAAATATCGCACAAAAAACTTGATTATAAACGTAAAGAAATCCTATAAAGGTATCAAAAAAATTAGCTGTATGGTAAACATTTTGTTCCAAAATATGTCTTTGGTGATCTGTCAGCAAATGAATGTGAAAATCGTATAGTGCACCCTCCCAATCACATCTAAAAAAAATAAAATCAAATTAAAAAAATTACACTACTTTAATTTAAAAGTTGACAAATAAACTGGCAAATGCTATTTTAATATTAATGGTAATTTATTTGTTTTTTTATAATACAAAATATTTATTATTTTATGCGAATTATATACAGTGTTATCGGCGATTTTGAATGTGCACTCTATCATTCTATATTAAAAATACAGCTCTGGATATTTAACGAGATCTATACAGGGTCTATACTAGTTTAGTAACTAGTTTAAGTAAAAAAAAGTTTTTTACTTAAACTAAAAAACTTTTTTTTTAGTTTATAATCATCTGCTAATGATGCTAACATGGTTAGCGAAACGCGCGTCCAGTGTAAAAGTAAAAGTGTTTTGGTGTATTGTGGTGATTTAGTTAAAAAAAAGTTTTTTAGTTTATAATCATATGCTGATGATGCTGACATGGATAGCGAAACGCGCGTCCAGTGTAAAAGTAAAAGTGTTTTGGTGTATTGTAGTGATTTAGTGTTTTATTTTTTGCTGAAATTTTGTTAGTATTTGTAGGTTAGTTTGGAGCATTTTTTAAAAATATAAGGAGTTCTGTAGGGTGTAGGTATAGGTCTCCAAAAAAAGTTACAACACCATGTTTTAGAATACCCTATATATTAATTCATTGGATGGAATTTTCGGATTTTAGGAGAAAAATAAAGGTGAGTCTTATAAGAATATTATGAATAAAATGTAAGGTTTTGACATGTATAATATTTTCTAAAAATATAAAACAATTTTTAAATTTTAATACGCAACCTAAACTGGAATTTAAGCACCCGATATAGCCTAATAGGTGATTAAAACAACTATTGTTTATTATTTAGTTTAATTTAATTATATGAAACTCACCTTTATTTCTTTAAAAGTCCTTTTGTAAGGCTGGTAGATAGAAAAAGAAATAAATGGATGAAAAACTAAATAAAAGTAAGAGATGTTTGAAGAGAAAGAGCAATTTTTGAATATAGACGGAAATTTTCATTGCTTCTTCAGAAAAAAAAATACAGCCTTTAAGAAATGTTGTTTTCATCAAAAATTCAAAAATGCAATTATCTAATGTGTATAATTTTTTATTTAAAAGTGTTAAGATACTATTATTTTTTTTTTAATTTAACCAATTCTTTGTGTTGAATAATATAAAATAGGACACAGTTTATTTGGATAAGATACGAAAAGAACAAACGCACTTACAGCATACAGGAAATTCTAAATGAACAATTTTTCTGATGTGCTTTAATATTATCGCTGGCTCCAACAAATTTGCACCCAGCCTCTCGGTTCCTGCATGGGAAATTTATTTTGGAAATTAAGTTTTCCAAAATGAAAGAGCGGTTATCAGTTATTTTGCTCCTACAAGTTGGACATGACGTTATATTGTTCCTACAAAAGCTGCAAATGCCATGACCTAAAAAATTAATAAAACATTTCTACTTAGATTTGACAAAATAATATGGGTACAAATATAAAAATATAAAGCACTTTTACTAGAATATATTTTTAATTACGTGAAATGTTTATTTTTTAACGCAAGCAATTATGATGTTGAAAATGTACCTGTGGCACACATGTATATTGGAGGCAGCATATATTCACTACAAATTGGGCATTCCAGTTCCCGTAACAGGTTGTCATCTGTCTTTGGAAAAAATGTATTTTCAATATGTTTTTCTTTAAATAACTCACTATCCTTAAAACCAGTTATCTTTAAGATCTCTTTTTTACTCTTTTTGAAAATACCAAATTTCATAATTAGACGTTTAGGTTTCTCAAGTAGTTCAAATATGTTCTCATAATTCAATACCAATTGTTTTTCTGGAATATTCAAACTGTGCTCAAAATCTTCCAAACTATATAAGCAATTTTTCTTCAATAAAATATACGTGTTTTTATCAGTATTTAATATATCCACGTGGTATTTGAAACACTGAGATTCTATCTCAGATCCATCCATTGCTATAAAAACATTATATTTTTTATCGGTTTCTTGCATTACAACAACAGTCGCTACATGGGCTCCTGAATACACATAAATTAAATAAGTTTTAATTGAAAAATAGTAATCTACAAATATCTACCAAAACAAGTAAAGAATACAGTATTTCCTAAGTTAGCAGAAAGTTCGAGGTGGGGTGGATCTAGAAAGTAATTTTGATGCGTTTTCAAATGCTCTTGTATGTCATTTTTTAAACCCGCCCAAGAACATGAAATAGAAATGTCTCTGGTCACTTCTTCACATGATAATGGACATTTTAATGGACGAAATCTGGAAAATAAAGATACTCTTGAGCTAGACAAACACACACATATACAGGGTGAGTTTCCTACGATGTTCTCTATGGGTATCTCGGAAACTACTGGAGATAGAGAGTCAGTTAAATGGGGAAAGAATTGCAGTTTTGTGGGGTCATAAATATGCGCTTTTCAGATTTTCGAAAAAGTTCATAGCTTACTAGATATTTCGAAAAAATCAGATTTTGGCTATTTTAAAAATTGTCTCTAATTCCATTATAATCTATTTTAGACAAAAAGTTTTCAGATAAAGTCAATCACATCCCTAATGAGGTTATGTTCTCCGATTTTTTCCAAAGCCTGTCATTTTTGACATATGACACAAACATATGTTTTTTTTAAATGGAAACCATAGTTGGCCATGACTTCATAAAAAGCGCCGTTTTTTAAGCTTTTCAACGATATAAGCTACAATATGTTTCTTTCACAAAATTACTGAGTTATAACCAATTCTTATCTTTCTTGACTAATTTCACTTAGTTAGCCATGGAAACAAGTTCAATCGTCGTTGCTCTCAGAAATGTGAAATTGTCACATCCAATCTTTGTAAATTAACATAAACTAAAATTGTAAATAAGAGTTTTTTAAATGAAGAACAGAGTGGAGAATTATTGGTTCAACTTTTCTGGGCCATACAGTTTCGAGGATATGTTGACCGGTGAACGTTACGTTTTTTAGAAAACGGTTTTCAAGACATGTTAGAAAAGTTAAATTTAGATACTCGCGCATTAATACAGTGGTTCCAACATGACTTTCATTATGACGCACCAACCACCTCCCACAATAAAAGAAATGTTAAAGGAACAGGACAAGTTTAATTAAGGCGACCGGTCGTTCTGTGACAATAGCTAGAAATTCAGTTTTAAAAAGATGCATTTATGTACTCAAAATAATTGCGGATTTTTTGAACATTTTCTAAAATAACTTAAAGTGTACGTAGTGATATTATTTTTTTGAGTTTTAGTTTGTGTAATCTAAATTGTAAAGAGCCGTTTAATAACATATTTTGTCTTTTTATAAGTTATAAATCACAACAAAATTTGAAGACCATTGAAAACCGTTCTCTAAAAAACGTAAGTAACTTTCACCCGTCAACGTATCCTGTATGGCCAAGAAAAGTTGAACCAATAATCCTACATGCTTTTCTTCATTTGAAAAATTTTTACTTACAATTTTTGTTTATTTTAATTTACAAAGATTGGATGTGACACAATTTCACATTTCTGAGAGCAACGACGATTGAACTTGTTTTCATGGCTAACTAAGTGAAATTAGTCAAGAAAGATAAGAATTGGCTATAACTCAGTAATTTTGTGAAAGAAACATATTATAGCTTATATTGCTGAAAAGCTTAAAAAATGGCGCTTTTTATGAAGTCATAGCCAAATATGGTTTCCATTTAAACAAACATGTTTGTGTCATATGTCAAAAATGACAGGTTTTATAAAAACACAAACTCATTAGGAATGTGATTATCTACAACTTTTATCTGAACGCTTTTTGTCTAAAATAGATTATAATGGAATTAGGGACAATTTTTAAAATAGCGAAAATTTGTTTTTTTCGAAATATCTAGTAAGCCATGAACTTTTTCGAAAATCTGAAAGGCGCATATTTATGACCCCACAAAACTGCAATTCTTTCCCCATTTAAAAGACTCTTTATCTCCAGTAGTTTCCGAGATGCCCATAGAGAACACATCGTAGGAAACTCACCCTGTATGTATATACAGAGTGGTCCGAACAGTATTGCGGAAACTTCGGCAGCATATTTTACTGATAAAAATAAGTAAAAAAGTTCATATAAATATATGTCCTAAAATGCTTAGTTTCGGAGATACAGAATGTAGAAGTTTCATTTTTATTTCGATTTTATCCAAATAATATCTGAAGTAATGTCAATATTTGGATGAAAGTTGGCGTCTGGGAGTTTTTTGACATGAGAAATTTGATTTCAATGTCAATATGGCTTCTATTTGTTGGGGGCGCCACCTTTTTGTGCGTACCTGTATAAAACTACTGAGTGAAAGAATGTAAATTTTCGTGATTTTTTACATAAAAAATGTCTCTTGGTAAAAATCGCTACGAGCAACCGTTCTCAAGATATTTAGAATGGGAACAGTCAATACATGTCATTATTGACAAAAAATAAACACGTTGAGTAGATAGTTATTTCACTAAAAATATAAATTTGAGAAATTTATAATTTTTTAAATTATTCATAAATTTTTCTGCAAAAAATGATGATTTTGATGAAAGTTTCTGTTGAACTTTTGGCACGAAAACATTTCAACATGTTAATTTATGTCAATGATGACAGGTATTGATAATTTCGATTCCAAATATCTCGAAAACCATTACTCGGTTCCCATTACTCGGAAAACCATTATTTTTTTACAAATACATATATTTATTTTTTTAAATTAATCTTAAATTTTTCTTCGAAAAAATGATGATAAAACAGTTTCTGTTCTACTTTTGGCACCAAAACATTTGAAATTTATGATTTCAGTCTAATAAAACTATTTAGTCAACATCGAGGTCAATATTGTATATTATGTATGTTTAATTTATGTCAATGACGACATCATGTATAATATAATATAAGTAATTTCGATTCCAAATATCTCGAGAACCATAACTCGTAGCGATTTTTACAAAGAGACTTTGTTTACGTAAAAAAAGTCGCAAATGTATATTTTTTTACTCGGTAGTTTTATACAGGTACGGACGAAAAGTTATTACTCTTCAAACAAGTTATAAAATATATAGGTGGCGCCCTCTACAAGTAAGAGTCATATTGACATCAAAATCAAATTTCTCATGTCAAAAAACTCCCAGACATCAATTTCATCCAAATATTAACGTTGCTTCAGAAATTAATTGGAAAAAATCAAAACAAAAATGAAACTTCAACACCCGGTATCTCCGAAACTAAGCATTTTGGGACATATATTTATATAAACTTTTTTACTTATTTTTATCTGCAGATTATGCTTCCGAAGTTTCCGGAATACAGTTCGGACCACCCTGTATCTTGGCTAAACAAGCTTCTTTTATCTACTTAACAATAGATGGAGCTGAAAGCAAAGTAGGGGTCAGTGACTAAAGAATACAGGGACATGTAACGCCCATATACGGGCTGCAGCAAAATTTGTGATGTGTTGACGCCATTTTTTTGGTTGTAACGAATGAGCCATAAGCTGGTTGTCAGCGAAAATTTTAGCGATTTGTAATAGTTTTTGTGTAGTGAACTTTGTATTAACTTTATTACAATGGTGATTAGTTGTTCAGCTTTCAAGTGTAAAAGCCGCAGCGATAAGAAATAGCCAGAAGTTTCGCTACATAGGTAAATAAAAAGCGCACTCCACTTTTTAGCGTTAGCGTTTTTATTGAATTCGATTATTATTTTTCTGTACAGGGTGTCCCATTTTCGTGTGTTTTACAGGGTATCTCGCTTAAGGACAGAGATACAAAGATGCGGTTTTCACATCACTGTGCTAGTTTTTTATGAAACTAAAGATGCTACACACAGATTTGTCCTAGCCCTCTTAGTTCCTGAAATACAGGGCGAAATTGAAAATGTTGCGTTTTTTGACCCCCTTCCTATCTCGGTTATCTTACTTATTGCCATTACTCGCTGACGAGTATTTGACACGCATCAGAAGATGGTTACGCAAGGCGTTTCCTGTCATGAGCTTTTCTGTGACTGAAAAGCCCGATACGTGATGTTATCTCTCTTCCGCACTCCGGACATTCAAAAATCTCTTTACTTTGTTGCCTTTTTACTTTTTGGTTGTCGTTATTAACTGAATTTACAATTCTCCTCCATTGCGTTCTATTGTGCGCTGCTTCCTCCCACTGATGCTACATACTTATCCCCTTTAAGTTTTCATGAAAAACATCCTTGTATCTTTTGAGTTGTCCACCCGGTTTCTTCTTACGCTCTGCAAGCTCACCGTAAAGAAGAGATTTCTGTAGGCGGTTTTCTTGCATCCTGAATACGTGGCCAGCCCATCTTAAGCGAGATTTAGTAATCATGACTTCAGTGCTCTCGCAGCTTACTTTTTAAAGGACTGATACGTTTGAGATATGGTGGTACCATTTGATTCTTAACAGTTTTTTAAGGTGTTTCTGTTGCAACTTGTTCAATGCTCTCGTGTGCCGGCGGTACGGCACCCAGGTTTCACTTACATATAACATGGTGGGGATTATTACTGCTCGATACACTGCAAATTTCGTTTTTGTGCTCAAGTCATGATTGTAGAAAACCCTGTCTTTTAATTTCCAGAATGCTCTTGAGGCGCTGCTGATTCTGTGCTGAATTACAGAGTCGATATTTTCCTTTTTCGAAATCAAACTGCCGAGGTAATTAAATTCCGATACATATTCCAATCGTTCTTCTCCGATTTTTATAGCGCTGTTATGATTTTTCAGGGGAGTGCACATGATTTTAATTTTATCGATGTTTAGCTTAAAGCCCAAAATCTCGTATGCCCAGGTATATGTGTGCAGCATTTCCTGTAATTGTTGTAACGTATTTGCAACTAGAGCGCAGTCATCAGCGTATTGGAGTTCTGTAATGAATTTTATACGTGTTTTTGCCCAGAGTCTTTTTATGTTGAACAGATCGCCATCTACCTCTATCTAACACCCCTCTTTCTCGCAGTTTGCTGTCCACTACAATAGAGAGCGCTGCCATGAATATGTTGAATAGGAGAGGAGCTAGGACATATCCCTGCCTAACTCCTGTATTTGTCAGGAAGTGTGATCCATGATGTGACACTCTCGACTTGTTGTTATAGAGGCTTTTACACACAGTAAGGAATTTGTTGGGCACTCCGAAACTTTTGCATAATTACCCAAAGTGCATGTCGGTTTACAGAGTGGAGGACTTTCGGTCGATGAATGCTACATAAAGTTTACTCTGCTGTTCCTTTACTTTTTCCTGTAGTTGGCGGACGGAGAATATGGAATCAAC